TTTGAGCCGACATGGAAGATTTTTATAGAAGTGTGGTTACTAACTTACTAGTATTTGAGAACACGGCAACGCTGGGATTTTTTTGGGCAGTACGAAAGGAAAACACGGGGGTGAAAAATGTTTACGACAGTGCCGCCAAGTCATGACGCAGCCAATCTTCAAAGCATGGGCTAGTTCATCTAGTAATTCGTGTTTCTCAGCATCCGAAGAACGTTGACTATGGTGAGTAACAATATCGTGCTTGTGCCATTTTCTAGATTCGGCTCTTCCAGCACTGTGCACGCTCACGGATACAGACGATTGCGGTGAGCATGGCTCTTCCCGATATTCTAACAGTTCTATCAGCCAATCCTAACCTCCCGGTTGCATTATCAGAAGTAATACAACAACATGTCAACCACCCCGAAGAGAAATATGCATTCTGACAAAGGCTCTTCAAAGGCCACCGAAATGTCGGGCAACCAACCAATACAGCCATTTCCATGATGCGGAGAGTGGCGTCTGCCATCGATGTGGTGCAGAATCCGCGATTGCATGCCGTCACGCATCTTAGCTCGATCGGAGGCGTCGCTAAATCCGCTGTTGCAACGTCGGAGCGTTTAGCTCTGCGGTCCTAGTTGAGATGTTGTCGTTCACTTAGCTCGCTCCCAGCAGACTGGGAAGCCTCTGACATCCGTAGCAGGAGAGGCAAGTGGGCTTTTTTTCTGTCACAATACCGTGTCAGACGCACTCTAGTGCTGTCCTAGTTCCTCCACTATCTCAAGTATGGAAGATCCATATATGACGATTGGCGGGTTGAGTTACACGTCATTTTCGTTGACGGGCGATTACGATAATGACGAACGGCTCGAGATGAACTACAAACCCAGACCGATCGAGAAGCAAGGATTCTGGCTCCCAAGGGTCACATCTGGCCTCGTGAAGCTATGATTGAAAAAGGCCGAAAGTATTCGGCCACTTGGAGCACAGACGCCGCCTCTGTCTGTTACCTTTCTCTTTGTTGGAATAAGAGCGGAATGCATGCTCTTCCTTGGATTGAAAACATTCAGTTATCTGCTAAACGAGATGTTCGACGTATCGTCTCATTTTCAGTCACCTGGCTGCCAATTTGACTATAATGTAGACGGCAGGACTTTTCTTGTTTGAAGAGGATTGGTCAACTCTCATATGACCGGGAGAATACCACTAATGGCATGGACATATGATCAATCATGACTTGAATTCGTGCGCTGATTTTGCCCGAGGGCCACGTCGAGCGGATGGATGCATGATCGAACTTGGACATTCAACCGCGTCTTGGCTAGGAGACAGCTGTGAGAAATGAGCAGATGAAACACTGGAAGTCGATTGGTCCGCCAACAGTACGGCTCGTCACGTCTACGTTTTCCATCAAGCGAGCATTCTCCCGCACAAAGACGATGAGTCCGTTTGAGGAGCAATTGGTCACACAAAACCACCGGAGCTCACATGGGTGAAGCCGCATGCTGGGCACCAATGTTTTGGAAAATGTAACGATGGGGGTGGGCGTGTCTGCAAGGTTTGCAAGATGACCTGTCACATTCAGAGGCTTCAGGCTCACCCCTCTGATGATCACGCAAAAAATTCGGGCACAGCTCAACCGTTCCAAATGACGGGCGACGACGTGTGGTGTCTCTTGAAGACTCGACGACTCATTAAAAGAAGCAGAAACTGCTCTGTGGACGTGGACCCGGAACCGTGGTATGCCGGAATTCCTGTCTCAGTCTTCCATAAACCGACCATCTATCTGCAAGGTGACCACCATGACAAGAAATAGCTGTGTTTGTGAACAAGTCCCTCGAAACTGCTCCGTACAGAGGAAACAGAATCAGCGGCCCAGAAGCCGGCTGAACTAGCACTTTGGGTCACTCAATAGTAAGATATCACTAAACACCCCAATGGTCCTGCTGCTGACAGATGCGCTTGCTCTGACTGTCAATCAATATACGACAAGTTGTACCCAGAAACCCTCCCATCATGGCATGGTCGAAATGAATTTCGGTTCTCTGACAGGACCAAAAGCGCATGCAACAAGTACTTGACGGTCGGACTGGCATGGTTTGCCTCAATCTTCACATTAGCATTATTTTGTCGGTCCCATCCAAGACTGCCCACCAGGCCTCCATGGGATAGAATCGGCGGCGGTGTAACCTTGGCATATGTATGTATGTATGCTCCCCCTCCGGATCCAGCAAGACGGGAGCGAATCAACGATGGCTTTCTGGGAATTGGGTCATTACCCCCTGTTTGAAGGTGTTAGGTTTGCTTGCACGTATGTATGTATATCTGGACTCTGGAGCATTCCTGGGGGGGCATCAAACTGCACTATGCAAATGTATTTTTTCCCACGGTATGCTGGCCGTGGCCTCCATCCCTCATACCCTGTAAAGAACTATGAACTTTATGATAGTATAGCAACTTGTCATCCGCGATACATTATCCCAAGTCAAGCCATTACTCAAAACAACGAAAAAGGAAGTGGCCTAATATGTCTGTCGAGGCATGTCTAAACACTTGTTGTCCCATCTGTCTCATGCAGCCTGAGAATCACGACGAACCACGCTGAGAGGGCAAAGGGTAGACATATTTCCCGCCGCCCGGCTGTCCTCGTTCCATCAGGGCATGGAACTCGGGACGTTTTACCGCCAAATAGTCAGCGACAAGGCATGAACACAGTCACACACATAATCACTCGGTTCGAAAGAGAAAAGACACATTGGCAGTATATTTTGCCGGGTCCTATTGCGAGACCTGCGTTCTGTCTATTCTCCCGCCTTGACCGGTTCACAGTCCTCTCAGACATGGTAGCAGACTGAATCCATGATGGAAAGGGAGGGCTGAACATGTATCAGATCTGGAGTGGAGCAAACTCACCTAATCTCCGTAGTGAAGCCTTGTCTCGTTCTTCCTTCACCCGTGCGTCTTACTAGCAATCGGTTCTTCTGACGTACTTGCAGATAAGGCTTCTGATGTAGTACAAGAGGATAATGCCAAAAGTGCCAGTTGACCACTCCTAGGCTCATGAACCAACCCCGCCTTGTTAATCCTAGATGTTGTATCGGAACTCCTGCCTACATTGGTATGTTGAACCGTGTAGCACCAGGTCCTCAAGTAGTAAGTACGTCGTCATCATCATTCACAGGAACCAATAATGAAGCACAAAAGCACACACACCATGACACTCAATCAAGTCTCTTGGCCTCTATTCTTCATTGTTCTTCCCGGTCACATCGTAGCTCTCGGCCATGATAGTAGTAGCACTACTACTAGTCTAGCCATGCTCACACGGGCGGTCCCGCAAAATAGCGTAGAAACAACGAGAAAGATTGTAGGGTCTGACAGTTGAGACATTCCGAACGCTAAGCAAGAGGCGGGAACCATGGCCTCGGCGTCTTCTCTTTCGAAAGCCTCTTGAGTACTATTTTACGCGACCGAGGGTTACAACACCCCCCAAATTGCATGATGTAACCAACTCTTCTCAGTATTCGTTGAGTAAACTCCTCCAGCTATAGAACCACAGAGGGGCACGGTCCTCGAATGTCTTCCCCTGGGCATCCCCATTGAGTAAGAGCGCGCAAGCCGATACCGACCACGTCTAGTATGTGTTTAAGCAGCTTAGAATAAAAAGCAAAGATGACTGCGGCTACTTCCGTGTACGAGACAGAAAGTACGGAGTACTCGGGACGAAATCCGTATCAGGCGCCAAGGAAGTAATAAAACTCTGGGCCACTGGTGCCGTTGGACGTCTAAGTATTTCGAACCGGAACTATTCCGTAGTACGGGGAGACCGGCGTCCAACGCCGTCGACTAGGTCTTCCCAGTCTCCCCCATGGTCACATACTGATACTGGTCTGGGGACCATGGCCCACAGGACGATGGAAATGTCGGATCTTTTGGAACTACCAAACACATGAGTGAACAAAGTACCATCAGGGATTTATAAGCGGACCCCCGAGGGGGAGGGAGGCACCGAGACCAGGGACTCGGGATCGACCTAGTCGTTCATGGTGCAACGGAAGCGTCCGGGATGGCAATGGATAGACCTTTTTGTGCTCTTCACGAGACAGCCTCTGGACGCATCATAGGCATCGATTGGTTTTACAAGTACCGGTCTGTACACCCCCGGTGACCCCAACTTGAGGCAGCGATAATCTTCGGGAGCCGCCGGTTTGGTCGGATCCAAGGGGCTGGGACTCGACCCTGTTGGGCGATCGCGCCTCGGAAATATTGCAAACTGCATTTGAAACAAAAGCCCGGTTTTTACTTCTAAGACTCTGTTCTTCGATGGGGGGGGACAGGGGAGGACGCCGTGTTCAATTTACAGCGTATTTTCCCGTTTTGAGATGCCGCCGAGGGCGCAGGGGTGATTTGTGGCTGTTGTGCACGGAAAAGCAAAGAAAACAGGGAAAAAAAGACACGCAAGAAAGCCATCTCTTCCACTTCTTAGTGTATTGAGGCTGACATTCTCGCAGCTGAAAGTGCTCGCGGAACGGGAATTTGGGATTACTATTCCATTATTCAATGTGCATGAGCTTGCCGGGGGCTAATGGTTGAAGAATCCCTGCAAAAGACCGCTCTTTCAGACAATAAACTCTCTTTCAGCTTGTGGCTGGCTGTATCCGTTCATGTACCAGCCTATGAAATGCAATGCGAAGCGAACCAAATTGATGGCTGTCAAACTGTTCCCCAGCCTTTGCCTATCCGCCCAGTCCGGAAATTTTCCAAAGAATGAACCGTTCACAAGTACACAGGGGGAAAAAGTAAAAAAAAAAAAAAGGAAAGGAAAAAGAGAAAGAAAGAAACGCCCGATATGTTGGTCTCTTGACGGACTGCTCGGTGATTGTGTCGGATTAGAAGAGGTTGTGTGACTTTGTGTGTTTTTCCAGCAACTCTACCGCCGGTGACGACGGGCTTCAAAGATAGTGATGCAGAATAAGATGATGTTTAAATCGGGCAAGGGTACACTGCCTCTTGTAAAGGGCCTATACGAGTGATTTCTCAATTTTGACATATAGTGCACCGCGGGGGATAGGAGCGCCTTCCAGATCCATCAGCGGAATGAAGCGATATCCCGAACGGAGGCGGTCGAGACGAATACAAGCCCATGCCAATACTGATGTGCTCATGCGGGAGTCGTCACCGATTCGAAAACTGACAAAAATTAGGATTTGGTTCTAAAGTAACGGTGGGAAAGTCGGTAAAGCCTGTGGGGGAAAGGGGGGGAGAAGCTTACCGGACGAAACTGAGCTCAGGAACGACCTTGGTTATGCCAGTAAATTCGAGGTGCCTTTTAGATTCCGGGAACTTGGGGTTGTTCGTTGCTCCCGCACCTATTCGCTTCTTGTAGTTACTTTCGCTTATTTCCTTACCAGTGGCCAATTCAGATTTCTCTACATGAAGTGTGACTTTGACGTAGGGACGGATGGCGCTTCCGCTTCTTGGTTCATCCCCCGAATCGTCGCTTTCCGTGGGGATATTTTGACCGGCGAATATGGTGAGGCGGAGATCTAATCTAGATCCGGGCGTTGCATCGTCGTGGGATTCGGACGACTTATCGGAGCTTTGGTATCCCGGCGGTTTAAGAACCCAGCCCTTCTCGTCTGCAAACATGCCCTCATTGATCATCATGCCCGTATCTGTGTTTTGCCAGTTCATGGCAGCCATTTGTACCCCGCGTCTCCAAAACAGGCTGGGGTCAAGGTTTGAACTGTCCCATCGCATCTTGTCGGGATACGCTCTCATGAAATAATTCTTGTTGTGTAAGAACACATCGCGTTGGTGTCTCTGATACAGCTCCAAGATACGCTTCTCGCTAATGGAGAAGATGTGAGCTGGCCGCTTTGCCTCCTTCGCTTCGAAGGTCTTGAAGTGTTCACTTCGCGTGTATACCGCCAAATCACCTAGGCTTTGGCATATGCGGCCCGTGTTAGACTTGTCGTGGGATATACTTGGGGCGGCTGGAGCGGAGGCGGATTTTGCCGGAGGCATTGGTCGGCCGCTCTGGCATACGTCGTTTTCTGATGAGTTTGTATCCGAGTCTGCTGGAGCTGTGAGAAGACGGTCGGGTGTGCTTGCCCCCCAAGTACTTTGGGAAGGAAATTGTGTCATACTGTCTCCGATGACTTGCGAGGTAGTCTGCGAAGTAGTTTGAGAGATAACTGGTGTTGTGCTGTCCACCGTATTTCGAGGGCTAACTGGCTCCATTGTGACGGTAGCTTTCTTCACCTTGACCAGAATTTTCCGTTTCAGGTCCTGCAATTTCGGAAGGCGGAACCTTGGATCAAAATCTTCGTGTGCTTCAGTCACAAGAAGGTCTTGCCACTCCTCTTTCATGATCTTCACCATGACCTCTTGTTGTTCGTGATCGGCGTGAACTTCCAAACTGATAATGACTGGCAAGTCGTTGTTTTCAAACGCGGACTCCTTAACAGCTATGCAAACTTCTCTAAATCCGCAGGGAACGGTCAGGGTGTGTCCATGGGTCACAATTGGCTCGCCTCTTGGGGGACTATGATGTCGAGGAGATCTCGGAGCATGTGTCTGGGATACCTCTAGCTTATCAGTTGACTGCTTCGTATCCGGCAAGTTTAGGATGCTTATTCTTGGGGACACTTCTTCCACCATAGTGCGGCTATGCGTGCTGGGGCTTCGGGAGTGAAGAGAAGCCTTTTCCCCTAGAAGATGGTTCGCCGCCGCCTTGACCTTATGATCCACGTTCTCCAATGCATTTGCAATAGCTACATTGGTCTGGGACGTCCTGGACAGGCCTCTACTGTGGCCTCGATGGGGCGATTTTGATCTTTCTCGACTTGGAGCAGGGTCTCCATTCCAGACGTCAATTTCGATACAGCGGCAACCTCTCAAGAGAACCTGGATTTTTATTCGTCAGCTCAGGTACCCCGATATGTCAAGCTCATCAAGGAAAGGCTAACGTTTCTGTAAGCTTCTGGAGTACTGGTCGATGAGAGCTGGTTGCCATCCAGATATGTATTATGGCTGCTGTTGATGAAGTAATTGGTCAGAGGTTTTGAGAGGTCTTTCTCTGGAGGCGGCCCAATTGCATTGACGCCATAACCTTCTACCAACACATGACGGAACTCTCCCGCTGTATACTGCTCCTTGTCGAGATTTTTAATAAAGAGTTCGCGTTGAACATCTCTGAGGAAGGCATAAAGCTTCTCTCTAGATAGAAATTTGTCATTCCTCTTCAACCCGTCATATAGCTCGTCAACTATATCATGGAATCTATTGCCAATGGGTGCCTTGCCTTCGGCTGGACCACTAGGTGACAGTGGCGCTGATTTATCGGGCGGAATAAACGTTGAGACTCCAACCAAGCTTCGCAGCGCTTCACGTGCATTCTTATTTGAGCTTCCGAAGATAGACATTGTTCGAGTTCGTTTAGGAGAATCTGCATCATCGCGCTTGCGGCTTAAGAAACGGCGACGCTGGAAGACAGGGAAATCAGTCTGGGAAACCCTCGAATCGTGGACAGATCTTCAGGCGGCATTGCAACACAAATATATGTGAAAACATTGAGACTTACCGCTGGAAACCCGCACAGAAAAGCCATTCCGATGGCACAAGCTGCGCTGCCTGTTTCCAAGTGAATGCGATAGCCAACAGTCGTATCTGAAAAACTTGGCACGAAGATAGCAGCTGATGCCGATGACGGCGCACCAGGCCCCAGCGGACTTGGGACAGGCAAACCATGCGCGATCGGTGCACAAGTCGAACCAACAAATCCCTAAACCCGGACGGATAGAGTAGCAATAGGCTCAAATACTGCTTGAAGCCCCGGGAAGATCAAATAATACGACGCCTCGAGGTCACAAACGTCACTGGGTTTGAGACTTTGCTCGAAGCAAAGCTTGGAATGTCAGCAGGGCAGCGCAAAGGCGGATCGTCGTAGAATCAAGGACCTACCGCCTCATTCACTACCTTGGTACCCAAGACTAGGCAGTACGCAGTGTAATATCCCATGGTGCTGACAACAGCCCAAAACTCGTGGTGACCCTGCTTGCTGGTGTGCTTGTCTCCCTGTCGCCATCTCTCCCTGTCAGCATCTGCAGGTTTCCACCACGCGCACCGCGCCTCATTGGGGGCAGAACCGGGGCAAAGTGCTTGACTAGTGGAGTGGCTTTAGTCCATGGATATGACAGCCCTATCAAAGTTGACGAGGCATCCTGCAGTAGTGTTCGCTCTTCGATTGGAGAGGCATTGGGGCCGTGAGACACGGTTCCGGGACGGCGATGGGAACCTGGTTGGTGCCCGGAGACCCAAGATGGATGATTGGCAAATGACGGCCGGCAGACATCGAGGGATGAAGCGACGCAGGGCTGGAGCACGCCGTAATAAATGGTACGATAATGTTCTCGCATGAATATGAGGCGCAGAGAAGGAGGATACGACTGAGACATCCAATGCCATCGCAGGCAGTTGAGGAGGATGCCGTGGATGCATGATGACGGGCATGAGTCGGCTACGTTTGGGGGAAATGAAGTGTCCTGCATTTTATCTGAGCAAGGGCCAAGGAAAAAGTGCTTCATGATACCGAATACGTAGTTGCTGGGTATTATCTGGTGTTTGGACAAGCACAGGCCGTCCAAAGTTGAGCCAAGGCATTTTGGCCTCCCAAGGCAGGCGCGGCCCGCCCGGTCCTGCAGGAACAGTCATGGGGCCATGGTTGAATGCTGCCTGGGCCAACAAGCGATCAAGTACCGAAAGTACAATGCACGCGCACCCCAGAATGCCGTCCTGAACAGATGCATCGCGCAACAAAAACCACATCTGAGGAGCCATTCCCGTCCACAATCCAGCTCGTTATCCCAAACGCCAAGGACTCCCTCCCTACGTCGGCACTAGTACAATGTCTTGTGCGGCTGACCGCGGAACGGGGCGATGCGGCGGGGGCGCATTCAAACCGTCATCTGTTAACGGAATTGGGCGCCAAACCTCTGCAGTCTTACCAGACGCCAGGCCTAGTCAACCTGGAAGAACGTGGGGCCCTCCGTGACGAATCAGGGTTGCAGTCTCTGCCAACCTCTCTTCTTCACCACCACCCCATGAACGAAAGTCCATCAAATGCTGACGCAGCTACTCCTTTGAAATCGAGCCCCTACAAGACTCACACAGACTACAGACGACCACTTTCATCATGGGCCGAGAACAAGAGACGCAAGTGCGTTCCTGGGGCTTCGGCCACGTCTTTACTTGGAGTGATGGACCGTAAGTCGAACCTGCGGCTGGGAGGGACTAACTACCCTGTAGCGTCACCCGAGTCTGGACAGATTCTTGGACGCAGGGACTGACGTCATACTGCGACAGCAACGCGCATTATCCTCCTCACTCTCACTCCGGGCTGACAACTCATCTCGTCGTCGCTGGCGAGATGACGCTGTGGTACCCAAATGAGCCCGATAGGGAGAAGAAGACGTATGGCGTTGGGTCTAGAGTAGATGTTGATGCTGGAAGGGTTCATGAAGTTTGGATGGGAGAGCAAGGCTGTACGTATGTTATTGGGGAGTAGTTTTGCTTCGGGCTCTGGACTTGTGCTCTGACTTGAGGCAAACCGCGTAATGCCTTTCTGTTCATATGCCTACAATTGCTGCGGTAGCTAAAATGAAAGGCTTGTCTCTTCAGAAGGCAGCGATGCGACGCTTGTGTCCCAGGTAATAGATGCTCGGGGGAGCATCCATTAGGCGAGTCATGACTTGCATAATATATTTCAATCTGACGATGAATACAAGTCCCCTTATGAAGTCTCGACAGTATGATATGAGGTTACGCTTTGTCAGAGTGGCTGTCGGATTTAACCACTGAGTCATGGAGCAAATAGATCCAGCAATACCGGCCCATGGCTGAATATGTCAGATATCTAGTTTATGAATATACAAGTCTTTGCTTTCTCTCTTTTTCGGGGCCTCTGATGGGCTTCTCCCCTTGGATGAGAGGAAGGGCAGACTTTCTCTAATCAACTTGTCACATAATTCAGCGCCAATACTAAGCGAATGCGCAGTTCTCTCCTTTGGGTCTGTCTTTCTCTTGTTTATTTGCTCTCATCTTGCCCTTTGTTGGATAGCCGTTTGGCCCCAGCATATGAATTTCAGAAAATCGGGATGAAGTTATCAAGTACCGGTTGCTGAGAACGTGGAAATAAAAATTGATTATACACAGTGTCCTTTGATGCTCTCGGTCCAGGGAATCTTTTCCTGACTAGCAAGCTGAAAATGAATCTATTAGTTTGATTTAATGAGACAACTGCTGAAAAAGATTCACGTTCTGTTCATCTACCCGACTGTATATTAGGTCAGGCGCAGCATCCGACTTCAATCGTCATTTCAGTTGCACTCAGTGACATCTCAGCAAATCGGCGCTTCCTTCTCAGTGCAGTCGAATTGGAAAGCCTGTACCGAAGGCTCGCACTCTTTCAGCTCCTATATTGGGTCGGGTTGCCTCAATTATCTGATCCCTTTCTTCAAGGCAGCCAGGTTTGACACACTATTCGCCCTTGGACGAGGGCTTTTTCGGCAAATATGTCTTGCACAAAGTACACACATTCTTTAGAGCCAAGGACACAATACTCGGTAGGCGATGCATACGAGAACCTCTTGTCTAATCAACACGCCTCCTATCCACGTGGTATTCATGTGCGGGAATGGCGGCCGAAGCAGCAATACAAAACACCTTCGAGAAAACCTACATAGACACTCCTGGAACTATCCATCTAAGTTCAATCATCGTCATCAACCCTGCCAACCCAGGAAGACGCCGGAAAATGCTCCAGAGCTGGCAGAAATATCCCCAAAGCAAACTTATCGAGTTCCCATCTTCGGTGACACCATCCAATTCACCGGCTGCAAAAGTCCTGCTGCCTATTCCGGTCGACGAATTCTTCACCATGCTAGTCATTTTCCCCCTCGCGGGTCGCGGACTGAGAATGGCCGCGCTGGCCGGATCTACAGGAACCCGAAACTCTTTTAATCCCTCGCGCAGAGTCCGTATATTGGACTCACCCCTCGAATTGAACTATCTCAATGTTTTTCTCTCCTGTTTACACATGCTGGAGGATGCTGTATTTGGTGCCAGGTTAGGATACAGATGTTTCTTGCCGGTGCCATCTTGTCATTTCGTTGGTGTGAATCATTTCCCAATGTATCCCAATGCTTGAGAAGGGGCACAAACTCAATGACAACAATGTTTGTACAACATACATTCCCCTGTGTGAGAAATAAAGGATTCAACAATTTAGTGTTGCATCAGGTTCGCAGATCCCCCTGAACGAGGCAAGGCAAGGCATGGTGCGGTCACACTGCAAGAAAATGGCTGGATGCTGCCAACTAGGTTTTCAATAAGCCCCAGCTAGCTCATAAATGCCTTTCCTGCTATGTTATCTGTTTCTTTCTCGTTATATAAACAACTCTGCCTAATGGCACCTCTTCTCTTCACGATGTGTCGTGGCGCGAGCCATTCCTCCGCCTCGCATAAACAACAATCCACGCAGCAGAGGCAGGTAGTAACTAATAGGGTATTCCACGGGAGAAACCTGCGTTAGCTTACCCTCGACGTCTTTCCTGTCAATGCGGCTTATTCTTGTGCGACTCACTCCACCGCTATCTAGGGTCCCAAGCACAGAGTTCACTGCTGCATATGTAGTCAGATGACCAGGAACCAGGCACGACGGAGCTGACAACGTATTTTCTCGCAGCTAGATCCCTGATGGTGAAGTCACCGTGGTCCTGCAGTAGTTTTAGGCTTGGTCACATTGCAGAACGATTCAAGTTAGTGTGCCAAGTACATACATACGGAATACTGCATCTACGATGCGGTCAAGCGGACGCGCTGCATGACATTGAGGTACGGAACATGGCCAGACAGACCCTCTCTGGATCTTGAAAGGTATATACATATGATCGGGGTGAGAGTGAAAATGACTCTTGGATCACAGCTGCTATCGGGGCCGTCCAATATCAAGGTGTTGGCCTAAATACACATGGGCCAACTCCCCGATACTTTTACAGCAAAAGACCTGTGGAATGATGATGTCACGAGGCCTGAAAGGAAGCTTATGATCCTTTGTCTCACCGCCGTTATCCATTTACCCGTGGCAGGGATTTGCGGTGACTTTCGGCATGGGCTCCGTCCGACGTTTCTAGAGAAGAAACTTGAACCTGGCCCCAAGAGGGACCCATCATGACGGCAAGCACGATGGGGCGATGTAATGATGATATGCCCCTCAAGAAAAGCTTCTCTCATGTGACAATTGTCAAGAGAGACTGTGAAAATCATGATACGCCTCGTCCCTTTGGCCGTGAATCGCGAGAGGCCGCCTCCTCACCTTTCCATATCACCAATTGCTCAAGTGGCTACTGCGCCATGGCAGCCACCG